TAGCATGATATATATCATTTTGTTTGTTTTTTCTCTTCTCTTTTCGTTTCCTTTGAGCGTGGGATGCGTATGCTAAACTCCCATTGTCCAGAAATCTAAAAGTGCAGCGTCTGACCCCGCTACATATTTATTTAATACATCCTATTTGGTTTATAAATAAATATACATACCCTTATTCAATTGGATTTGGTTTTTGATTTTCGATTACAGGGCGCCCCTTCTTTCACTCGGACTATTAACAACAACAATAATAGATTTACTATTTTTAGGTTCCATCCACGCCGGCGCTGATATTTAATTCCAGATGATCCTCCTAAGGGCACTCTTTAGGGTCTGATATGCTGAAAGGGTGAAAACTATTGATTCCATTCTTCTACATTACTCTGGTGTTCAAGTTGAAAGTTTTTCATTCAGGAACCTATGAGAACAAGAAGTGGTCAAAAGTGTATGTATGCGTTTTCTTTGGTCTTTTAAAAAGCCGACGCAATACCTTCTTAGCCCGGTTTCCCCATTCATTCCCTGGACATAGCGGGAAAAAAAAAAAAAAAAAAAAAAAAAAAAAAAAAAAAGGCGGGTTTCTTGAAAGTGATGCTCAATGCCTGTTGAAAGCGGCTCCTCTGTTGCACTCTCTAACATCTCGGTTTTTCTTGCTCTTGCCTCTCGGAAGTATAACCTCGAATAAAATGCATGTTGTAAAAAAAAAAAAAAAAAAAAAGGTGGATAAAACCATCTTTATTACAGGTCTAGTTGATTTTATGTGGCTCATGGCACGACGGCACAGTACTTCGGCCAAAATAACTCCAATTCGAGTGATTGTTGTGCGTACAGTTTCTGATGTTAGGACTCCCCGCTCGCAAGACCCAAGACGTGCTTTCCCTGAATACTTTGTTGATGCTTTACCACTGAGAAGATCGCACAAGACAGCTACGAAGAAACTCGGTCTATAGCCGCGAAGTGGAGTGTACCAATCTCAAGTACTGTGCGTACTCAGTACACACACCCTGTGGTGCGTAGCAGTGACATTTTGAATGTAGACGCCGGCATTATATAATTGAATTTTGTTTGCTTTTTTCTCTTCCGCTCAACATTAGAATAGTGGGGGGAGGGGGATGGAATATATGTTGCACATAGTTACAACTTGACATACGCATGGGCACAATCGGGCGTTTGAAAATCAATTGATTCGCTCCTGAGGGATTTGAATGCCTTTCTTCTCTTGGGACTGTTGGCAGTAGTACCTCATGTTCTGGCGAGACGGTCGGAGAAACAGCAAAGCATGAAAAAACCGCATGGACAAGAGGACAGTGGCCGGCTATGTAGGTGATCATCTCGCCTGAATAATTGGTTCCGTGGGGGTGTCAATCAATTCTTCGATTTTCTTCTCAGCTGCAAACCGCAGAATCTATCCATGGCTTAGATTTTATGGTGATTTTAGCATTTTTGGTGCTTCTTTTATTGCCAGTGTTCTTTTTCCCGTGCGGCAAGTAGCCGCCGTTCTTGTGATACGTCACCAAACCCTGCAGGGCATTTTCAGAGAAAATCCCTTCTTTGACAGAGCCGATGGTTCCACAAATATAGAAGAGTATTTGCTCTCCCCACAGCCTTGGGACAAACGTTAAACTGCGGTTGTACCTATGGGTGCCCGGTACAAGCAAGTGGCCTGGTCTTGTCTTCCGGGCAAGCTTTGTGGTGGCCTCGGTCCGTAAGAGCACGATGCGGTGCAGCCGCCTGAGGTCCCAGTCTTGATGAAGCGGACACAGTGGTCTCTTTTGCTTTAAAGTCTCCGGGTTACCTTGACACCAGAGGCTTTGATGGGTGTCCAGACATGAAAGTCAGCTCTGAACAGTACAATACGTGCACTTGCCGCAAAATAAACAGTTATACAACACCAATGCTGCGCCAACAACCTTGGCTTTACAGGGAGAATGCAGAGTCGGCAATGCCAACCCATACCCACTTTGCCACTGTCCTTCGGACGGACAAAGTGTAACCACCCTTGACCCCCTTCGCCGTGCAGTAACCCATACGAGAAGCATCTCCGCTTAACTCTCGGGTGGGTCTCAGGAATAAAGGATCGGGTATCAAAACGACCATATCGAGTCTGCAGAAAGTGGACTTAGGAGAGCAGCTCTCTTTCCACCATTGACAAAACCGACGATATTTGCCAGAGATAAAACATGGTCACGTCTTCCAATCGATTATACTCAGTTTCGATGTTAAGTCAATTCCCCGTCGAGGCCGTTTTAGCTGTTTTTTAGGAGCCATCTAGAATATCGCAAACGAAATAAGGGGGGAATAGGAAGGGGGAAGGGGTTGTGTGGAGGCATTTGAACCAAAGTGGTAATTGGCCCTTTCCAGGCTCATCCTATATCTGAACAGGATAACAATCCTGTGGCCAAGAAGTCCATGGTGGTTGAAGAGCACCTGGCGTGAAGGCATAACCGTTGTTGGCAGTTGAGCTATAATAAGAAATGCTGGCGCAGTTGTACACGAAGTCGGTAGCTGTGTTATAATTATTAATTCTATGGATACGGTACAGCAGCGCACGTCTACAACCTTCGCGTTGTTGTGTACCCAGATATGTATATCTTGACGTGCTGCTATGTTTATTCTTTTGGCGGCTGCTTCTTCTGCTTGGTTATCAATGCTTATGGATCGGTCGACGGAGAAGTGGTTATGGGTACATAGGGCGGATTATGGCTATGGCCACGGCAAAACTGGAAATACAGAGTAGACGTTGAGGACATCTTCACCGCGTATGGTGGCTGTTGTGGTTGTGGTTGTGGACGTGCGATTGCGATTTGGGATACACGAGTTGGTTGTCCTCGTCCCATTTTGGGAAGTTTCGGACGTCAATGGTACACAAGGGAGGCCAAACCAAAAAAAAAGAAAGAAAGAAAAAAAACCCACCTTTTCCCTTGTCCATCACATCTATCCAGAGCAATCACCGGCATCATCCTTGACGCAGTCTATCAGATGCTGTTTCTGGCCGGTTTTGTTCGCCCGGAGAATTGACGTACGGAAAGGAAGCATTGGACAAGAGGGCTGGTTGGGATTCGAAACAACTGCCACCTGGGGCATCCCAATGCCGGTAGCTGCAACGTCGTCACGCGTAGGCCTTTGGTCGTTTGAGTATCTAGTCATGCTAAACCCGTCTGTCTGCTCAGTAGAAGAGCTGGCTTGGAACGCCGTTCTAAATCGAGAAACGGAGAAAAATGAGTTATGGATATGCAACCCGGGGGAAAACGTGCGCCAGACGAGATCGTATTAATTTGTATTGTCTGGCTCATGGTTTCGCAGGAACAACCGCAGACAGAGGATCGTCCCTTTGTCAGTCTGCTGCTGTCAAGTTCTGCTGCAGGACAGTAATGTTGAAGGAATTCTTCATGACTGCTCGTGTGTCTTCGATTTATCAGCCTTTTGAGGGAACTTTGCTATGCATCGTGGCCCTCGGCGGTGGATACCTATTATTCAAGCGAAGGCTAAGTTGACAGAAACGCCGTGGAATCTTTGATCAACGCCTTCCACCTGGGGACTGGACAAGCTAGCAGAATTACCCCGAACGACCTCGGGAGGTTCAGGTTAACATGTCCATTATCACAGATGTGATTTCGGGTCATTCTCTGCCCTCGCGTTGATTCCCTCATGGACGTCATTGCAACACAGCCCCTGAAGCCCAGCCTGTATGACCAGATAAAGAACCAGGCGCTTGTAAAGCCCCCATAATTCCATACGCATTATCATTGGTGGAGGTGTCTAGGTTTGCTCTGTCCGACGGTCTTCGAGGATTTATTCGGTCGGTGGGTCTGGAGGGCGAGGAGAAAAAAGAAAAGAAAGGAACTTCACAGTGAGACAAGATACAGACAAAAAACTGGCTTAGCGTACCGGAATGCTGCAGAGGATAATAATACATTTACGCAGATCTATACGTTCTTCCGGTTAACAACCTCAGCCCAGATCGATAGGGGTTGGTGTACTGGACTCTTCTTTTAACTATGGGTTTGTACCGCCTGTACCTTTTTCGAGTTGGAGCAAAACCGGTTCGAAATTATGATATGCCCTGAAGGTTTCTTTTTCTATTCCTTTTTTTGCAGAAAACTTGGGCAGCCTGGACGGGCATTTGAGTTCGAAACTAATACAGACTAAGTTCATTCAAAACCTCCCCCGCTAACCTGTCGAACTTAAGATGCGAGCCTTTCACTTGATGCAAATTCATACAACGGCGGCCTTAAG